TCGCAAATATCTAAAAATTTGTTTATAAATAAAATCGAAAATTTTGGATGCAGTAAGCTAAACTCAAAATACTTACAGTATGTAAAATAGGTTTGGTTTTTATACGGTTCGGCATTATTTATTTTTAATGAAATAATATTTGTCGGTAACTGAGTCACCCTAAGAATTCTCCAACTCTATATTTAGCTGATCCCGCACACAGATGTATATGAGAAGTACATACGTATATGTACATACACGCATACATACACACACATATATAAATATGTAGTGATGTACATAGATATAACATCAATATTTATGCAATTCTCGATGTTCTCTTTGTCTCTACTTTTTCGCATTTATTTCTGAATTGGTTCTGCTGTTCTGTACAATGTTATTGTTTATTCCGCTGTGCCTGCATTCTGTTGTCTGTTGTTGATGTGGTTCTTTTTTCTCTTGTTGTCGGCTGTCCGCTGTCCGATTGTCTGCTGCTCCTTAGACCTTGACCACTAACATAGAAACGTCTGCAAACCGGTTTCCAACACTGTTTGCCACTTTTTTTTGTCTGCCGTCCTGTGCGTTTGCGAGGCGAATAGTTGACCGACTCAATCTCGAAATGTACTTAATTTGTTCATTTAATAACACCCACAAAACGAGTTTCTCGTACTCGTAAAGTTAATGCCATATTAACAGGTCTACTGCTGTCAACCCGACCAATAAATGGGCCTTAATCACGCCGACGCATGAACTTGTTGCTGCCCCAATGTCACACTTAATTATTTTATTTTTTCTGTAATGATCTATTATTTGAAATACGTATAAAAAACCCGTCATAATTTCTTGGTCACACGCACTGTGGAGTCGTGCCTGGTAGCTGCGTTGGGCTGTGCATTTTAATTGTTATCAAATTATATATAAATAGTCCATAAATATCAGACTCTGACTTGTGTGAGGGCGTGCACACAAAAAGGTTTGCTTGGGCTGCCGAAATTAATTAACAAAATGTTTGTTAAAATTGTACATAATTATAGTTTTGTGGCGTGCACGACTTTTGGTACATCGTGCATTTGGTGGACGTAAATATCCAATTTTCCTGTTGCCAAAACAAATGAAATTTGCCGCTCAATAAAGCGATTTAATAACAGCAACCGACAAAAGGCAGTCGCACACTTATGCACAAAAGTATGTGTATACATGCAGCGTATGTATATGTCTTCCGCTTGTCGTCTTTAGTCTCTATAGACGACTCACCCCTTTAAATGACCCAATTTCCGAAGCACGAGCATCCGAAAGCACCGACAGCTGAGCAACTGTCAAAAGCAGAGCCCTGCAAACTGCTTCGTAGTGAAAAAATTATTAAAAAAAAGGCATGTGTATAGCGAAGATCGGGCAAAGATCATGGTGCTGCTTTTAATACTCTTGCAACGGGCATAACTGATGTATCGTCTGCCTTGAAGTAGTTATCTTCAAACTAATAAAGTGTATATACAGCCGATATTAAAGACAAGCTAATTGCGTTCTTTAAAGTTGCATTGAATATGATCATATATATTTCTTGCATAGCTTTTTTGTTCTTAAAATCCTCTAACTATATTTTAAACAATTTTTTTTTTATCGAATATATGCCAAATATTAAGAAAAGTTAACAAATATTTGCCTGCTATAATCGAACTACCATATTGAATACATATCGTAGCTATATCCTATATGCAGCTGCCAGTCTTAAATTTTATTCTCTACAAAATGAGCTACTATATCATATATGCAGCTGTTTTAGTTAAATATTTTCTTCGTAAAAGTTCATGCTCTACATGTATACCCTATAGAATATATATACTGTTATGTATGTGCTTAGTTTTCCGCTTTAAGATTGATCAAATCAAAAAACAATTCGTTTAATATCTTATATATCTTAGAAAATGAGTTTAAAACTGATTTTCATACTTAGCACTAAGCTTAGAAAAATTTTTAAGCCAAATAGAATTTTTAGCATTAGAACGTAGACATTTTTGTGTGGAAGTGTATTTATGTGTCGGCTTGGCCCTACCTACACGTTGCTTATATGGTGCTGGAGCTGGCGATGCTGGTGGTGCTGGTGCTTTTCGGGTAATTTGATCCTCTAATGTTGCAGGGAATCACGTGTTTCAATTTTGATTCACGTATCATTTGACCCCTTTCCATGCTACAAGTAGATCAAACAACAACAACAACAACAACACGAACTGGCAACAACATCTGGAACTCGAGCGTATATTTATTGACCTTGTTTACAGTTCTTAGATTTCAAAACAACAGGCACAAGATGTTTTTCACTAATTGATGTTAAAGATGCTGATAAACTCGCTTAATTCAAATTAATAACTGATTGAATAGGTATATATCTGTATATATAGAGTTATTAAAAGTTCATTTATAGATTGGTGAGAGCGTTCTGAAATGGTTCGAATTAGTAAAATTTCGAATAAACTTTGAGTTAAACCTACGGCGAGATCTCCCAAAGCAGCATTCAATTTCTTTACATAGGGAGCAGCTGCCTGGTCAGCAGATGCAATAGTCTTGGCGCTCATACCCTAAAAATGAGCATGAAATTAGGAAAGTATAATATAAAGCAGTAAAAGGTTAACTAGTCGAGATCGCACGACTAGGGGATACCCTTAATCTCCTTGGTGGCTGTAGCTATAAAATGAAAGATACTTGATCTTTATTCACTTCTTTCCAAATTTGGTGACTCTAGCTCTTAAAACCTAAGATATCTGCTCAGAAGCAGGATTTCCATATCGATTCTTATCGATTGCTTGGAAACGGGCCAAGTTATCGATTATCGGACAAAAAAACTCGTACATTGCTGGCTCTAGGAGAATCTAAGATCAATTTAAAGTCTGTAGCTCTAGTAGATTCTGAGATCGGCGCGTTCATACAGACAGACGGATGGACAGACAAAGAGACGAATATGGCTGGATCGACTCGGCTAATAATTCTAACCAACAATATATATACTTTTCGTACATTTACATACATTTAAACAATATTATTATACCCTTTTCATCCATATTTAATGTATTCAGGATATAAAAATATGTTTTTAGTTGAAAACGAGGCAAATACTTACGCCCATCTCACCAATAACTGAAGCACCAGAGGACTTTGGAATAAAATGTATTAAAAAGCATTACAAATGTTAGTTTAAGATTAAGTTTAATTTAAGTTACTTACTGAAACACTGCGAGATTTGGGCGCTGCCTGAATTTCCACGATGAGGCTGGTAATGGTGTTCTATTGATTGAGAAAGGTTGAGTGGACTCCAAGTAAATGTTAACTATATGCGACTTACTGCCAAATGGCCGAGAGCATCGCCCATATCACCCATAAGACTGCCAATAAGATTTTTCGGCTGTGGCTGAACATAATCTTTGTGGACTCTTAAATTGGTCAGGGCATTCTAGGAAATAGTGTTAATAGAATCAGGAAATAAAAGTTATATTCAGGAGAACCTAAAATATTTTTGCAATTACTTGCAATTGATGTATAACGGATAAATTTTTATATTTGAAATTACTTTCATCCATCAAATGGTTCCTCTATAGGAATAATCTATATGATTAGTATGCTGATTCGGTGCTAAAAAAGACAACTCATGTGACCCAAATAGTAATTCTCTTAATTACTGGGTTTGATGAAGCTGTCTTAAAAAATAGCAAAAAAATATATGTATATTAAGATTCTCCTTTTGTGTGATGCTGTCTATGACAACTACATGATATAAAGCCTCGATCTGTTCGACTCCGAAATCAAGATAGCTTTAAAACTGAGAGACTGGCTTGCATATAAACAAACAGAGAGAAGGACTCAACTTTTGATCAGTCAAGAGAAATATATATAGTTTATGGTATGGAAATATCTTCTTCTAAGTAATCCTCTGCAGGGGGAGCTATACTTACGGCTAGATCACCCAAGCCATTGGCCATATCACTTAGAAGGTTTTGAGTAGCGGCCTCCTCATACTCTGTTTTTGGCTTGGCAGCGTCCAGCTGATTCTCCAGTTTATGGATTACTTTCTCGCCGGCAACTGCCACCTGGGACACGTCGCTCATGAGGCCACCAAAGGTAATGGTGCCAGCCTGGACTTGTTGAGCCACCAAAAGGCTGGCCAAGAGTGCAACAAATATGACTTGCATTCTGATTGTTGGTTAACTGTTAACTTGTTTACTGTTTGACTTTGAGCGCGAACAACTTAATTTATATACCAACAGGCAATGGATCTTATCTATGTAAGGCCAAAACAAAGACGCAGTAAAAATTACTCTAATTCGCCCTGGTTACGCTCAAGTGGCCAATAACTCATGTCGAAATCGGCGGTACGCACTGATTGATGTCCAAAATTGTTATCAGACGGCGCTAAATTTCAAGTCGATGGTTTTTGTTTTCAATATTTAATAATAATTTAATATTTTTATATAACAAGAACATTGCAGACAGGTACATTCGACTGATCAATACTGCTCAGGATAGCTTCAGAAGAGCCTTTATTATTGCAAAAGGGGCTCTTCAATTGTAATCCCGTCGGGTTTGAGAAAAATTTAATTGTTAACAATGTTTGTGGGCTTGGGATTGGGCGTGGCGCACATTTGACTCTATCTTCAGGGAAGGCCTTCAGTAAATAAGCGCGTAAATTTGGTGCCACCTAATCAAAACTGTGGAAAAATAGACTTTGGACTGGAAAATATATAAGATATAGACCTCATTACTTTACCCGCAACGCTTATACACGAGTTTATATATTTATCAGTATACGTATTTAGAGTCTCTAGTCTTAACAAAAGAAGAGTTGGACAAACCTTGCACCAAACCAATATACTCTATTTCAACTTAAGAACAGGGTATAGGAACCAATCGTGTTTTCTTTTGTTTCCAGCGATTTCGCGTGCCCGAAATTCTAATCGGGCCCACAAAATGAACATTGTCCCCTACTCAAATCGGTTGCAAATTGTGCCCAGTTAAATAATGAAAAATTAATCAAATTAGTGCTCGCAATAATAGTTTTATTTTTAATTATAAGGATACGCGTTAATATGTGTGTAGATCAGTGTTTACAATTGATATAGAAGTCCACTAAAATAAGTGGGCGATTCCATTGACCACACTGTTGGCAACATTTAGGGCGCCATCAGCCACGCCTTCAGCCACATGTGTGGCATCGCCTACAATGTTAACAGCAGCACCTGCGGCATCTGAAGCGATATTGGTAACAGCGTTGGCAGCATCGGAAGCAACATTATTTGCCACATTGGTGGCGTTGGATGCCACATTGTTTCCCACATTGGAAGCATCGGATGTCAAAGAATGAGCTGCACTGGAAGCATCGGATGCTACATTATTAGCAGCATTGGTAGCAGAGTTTGCTACGTTGTTAGCAGCATTGGATGCAGAATTTGCCACGTTGTTAGCAGCACTGGAAGCAGAGTTTGCAACGCTGTTAGCTGCATTGGAAGCAGAGTTTGCAACGCTGTTAGCTGCATTGGAAGCAGAGTTTGCAACGCTGTTAGCAGCATTGGAAGCAGAGTTTGCCACGTTGTTAGCTGCACTAGAAGCAGAGTTTGCAACGCTGTTAGCTGCATTGGAAGCAGAACTTGCAATATTAGAGGCCGAATTCGCCACGCTGTGAGCCACATTGGAAGCATCAGAGGCTACATTGTGCGCCAGATTGGAGGCATCAGAGGCTACATTATGTGCCACATTGGACGCATCGGAACCAATTGTGCCACCTTCATTGCCAACTGAGTTGCCGAGATTGTTGGCGGTTTGGCCCACATCATTGCCAAACTGCGAGGCTGCCTGGCCCAATGCGTTGCCGAAATTGGAGGCGTCTTGTCCAACCGCAGAGCTGTTCAGATTGCTTGCATCTTGGCCTACATCATTGCCGAACTGTGAGGCCGCCTGGCCCACGGCATTGCCAAAGCTTGAGGCTTCCTGTCCAATCTGATTGCCGAAATTGCCCTAGAAATGAGATCACATGACACTTTACACTTCGTTCAGTTAGTATATATGGCACACGTCACATACAAAGGCTTGGCCGAGTTCGCCCAGCACAGACCTGGCGCTCACATCCTGCAGACCCAACAGAGCCAGCGCCAGCGTAAGGGCTACGATAAATTTCATTCCAAGACTTTCAGTATGATTTATATATTTTATTGTACACAATTTATAATTGCAACTAATGATATTTACGAGTTGCCAGTCACATTTATAGGCAAGTGAAACTCGATAAATTGCGATATGCTTATCGCTAGACACTGTCTGCCAACTTATCTGGGAAATTTTTTGTATACCACCATATTTAAATGTTGCCTGTTGTTTATCTAGAGCAAGACGTATGGTCGACCCATTGAATTCAAATTTTCTAATCATAATTTGCTTACATGTTCCCATTAATAACCAAAAGTGTCAGCGTACAATTTTTAATTCATATAATCAAATATGTATACATATATATATACATATATATATATATATATACATATATATATATATATACATATATATATATATATATATACATATATTTATGGTTATTTGCAAGATTTACGCACTTGTTTGAGGGGATTTTATTTGGGATTAAATTCTATATAAATAAAATTAAATCGCGGTCAATAAAAATTTAAATATTATACTGTTTTTGATTAAAAAAAGTTATTTAAGTGTACAGAACACACAATATAAAAAGTTCCCCATTAGCCGCGTATTAACCAAATAATGCCAAAAGTCGGGGAAAATTTTAACGAGCTTACCTTAAAATAGACTACTTAGAGTATATATGTATGCTGGTATTTTGTGAGTCATCATAAACAATTTTGGGACAAATTTGGATTCATAAGCACTTTGATGACGATTGTCATTGTAAAGATTATTAATCATAAACGAAATAGAATACAAGAATAAGAAGCTTGTTTATAGCATTTAATGCTATTTAGAGAAACTGCATATCAACTTTGGTGTCTCCAACTCTAAAAATCACCGAGATTTGCCTCCAAAATTGTAGCTGGGCATCGAAATTGATCAATTTTAAGGAAACCCTATCTAAGAAAGGACATATCAAATTTGGATTTTAAGAAAATTCTATACAAATAACTACATTAAAAATCTGGTGGCTTCACCTATTAAAATCTTCGAGATATGCTTAAGGAGCTGGAGCAATCGATATTTATCAATTTTAGAAAAAAGGAATAGTTTTTGAGCTTTATGTGAGAAACTACTTTCTTAGCTTAGAGTATTTTAGTCATATTGTCTCTCCAAACAAATAGGCAAAAGATAATTGCTTGATCCATTCGTCTTTTGATGCTGATCGAGAATGTATATACCGGCTAGTTTACATTTAAATATAAGTAGAGTTTACATCCTAATATAAGGCAAAAGTTTAAAATGTGTACAGGGTGAACTAAACTTTCAATTTTGTTGCTATTTTTATTTTTTCATGTTTTTATTTATATATATTCTAAACTTCTCATTGTCAGGAGTCTTGAAGCATGGTAGGCCAGGACCTGCTGCCAAGCAAGCGCCACGACCTAGAATAGCTGCACTATGAACTGAAGGTTACAGATTTTGGCTTAGCTTTTTGTTTAACTCTATGTCATATGACACCTACTTTTTATTAAACGATAAATCGCGTGGCAAGTGACAATTTTTGCTTACATACGTTTACCAAATGCTTAAATTGTTTGCGACATGATGAATGAACAATCTATTTCTGAATCAAATTAATGCTAATGTGTGTTTCCTGCACATTGATCACTCGAATATATGTGTATTGTATTGATAATGTGTATGACATACACCATGTTTCGGTTGGCTTTATAATATGCTAGATGTCATAATATCAGACAATATGTAATGATCTTATAGTGTTCAAGTAAAGTCAATGGGGTTTTAACTAGCCTATCCTAAAGCTTTTCTATCAGTTTATGTTTATAGATATACATCTAATCCTTATGAATGAAATTATACTTTCATATACTTACCCCATAGTTATAAGTCATCTAAAGAAATGTATCTTTTATGACCATATTAAAAAAAAACGACGATCATAATATTTTAATGTTCCTATGTCTTTTGATTTTATTTTAATAGGTGTATCTAGGTGCTTCGAGTTAAAACAAATATTTATTAAAAAAATATACATAGGCTATTCTAAAGCAATATTTAAGTAATATTGACCTGAATCATAGACGCAAGTCCAAGGTAAACAAACACAAACTGCTTTTTATATACGCGCTGGGCAAAGTCTGATTCAAGTACATGGCACATTTTATTTTTTTTTGTCCAACTTTTTTAGATAATTTTTTTGATTTATCTATATTTATATTTTATTTTCCCTAGGTTTATGCAATATCCGGCAGTAGCTCGAAGTGTTTTATCTTTAACTTAAGTTCAGTTTACATACGGATTCGATCATTTATTATGCCAGCCATATCGCGATTTATATCAATATCAATTTCCATATAAATGCGAGGGAACATTTTCGAATTTCCATCAGTCGATAAAGTCGCATAAAGTATAAGTATCATGAAGTTCCTAGTTCTCCTGTTCCTGGTGGTGGCCATGGTCAGCCAAAAAGTGTTCGCCGCCGGCGCCGTTGTCTCAGCTATTGACAATGATGCCGATAGCATTGCCCAGGCCGCTGCCAGTGCGGGTCAGAGCATTCTCTCGGACGGTGCCACCTTTGGCAAGGACGTGGCCAGTGTGGGTGAGGGCATTTTCTCGGACGGCGCTACCTTTGGCAAGAACGTGGCCAAATCTGCGTCTAAATGGGGCGAGGGCATTCTTTCGGACGGTGCCACCTTTGGCAAGGACGTGGCCGGCGCTGCTGTCAAGGCTGCCGATTCTTCTGCCGCTCAGAGCATTCTCTCGGATGGTGCCACCTTTGGAAAGAATGTGGCCAATGCAGCAGTCCAGGCCGCCGATAATATTGCCAACTTGTTCTAAAGTACCCCGATCCACGGATGAGCTAGTGCTGACTGAAGGACACAATTTCCAGAAAGAGTTATAAAGTGCTTATCGTTTTTAAATAATAGAAAATTATTTTGCATATTTCATTAAATTTGATTGAATACTCCTCCGCAAATGATTAATTTTATTGTTAAATATATTTAATTGTATTTTAAATTTTATATTTGTATTATCAGCAAACATTTTAATAAGTTTTTTTGTTTTTAATCATTTAATGTTTTTAATCATCGATGCTTGTGTCATTATGAATTTATTTTATTTTTAACATTTAGTGCTTAAACATTTTCGCCCTTAAGTGGAAAATGTTTGTAAGGATTTACATTTCTTCTGGCTATACGTTCTGGACGATCATTTGGATTGTGATAGTTTTGAATGTCGAAGTTTATGAAATATTGGGGTTTCTTTCTTTTCTTGATATGGGTAAGATAGTATTTGGCGTTGGCTTTGGGCTTTGAGTAGGCTAGGCGCATGATAACATTGTCGGCTGGTTGAATCTTAAATGCATTCTTTTGGCGGTTTTTGGTCACCAAATTCTCAAAGTTGGCCTGTATAGAAATTGAAATAAATTAATATTTCCAAATATTTTTGCCTTATAATAATACTTATTTTGCCTTACAAATTTGTTTCGCATGTTTTCCTCCATTGACTTAGGGGCATGTGCTTCTAGTCTTAACATAAGCCCCATCAATAGAACCATATAAATAACTTGAAGCATTGTTTGGCTACTGAGAAGTTGCTTTTACAGTTTTCTAAAATGTTTAAAGTTTTCGTGTAACCAGAAAATCCATTTGTTTCGGTTAATATTAATTTGTTTCACTTTAATTGGGGTTAATTTATTATTATATAGATTTGTTTTTTCATTTCAATAGTTTAGTGTGGATTTAAGTTTGTGAGTTTCCACTTTTCTTATTGTTTATGTGTCTTGGACTCGATGCATACCTAACCCTACTTAACATTAGTTAAGTTATGTTTTTACTTTTTCATCATTTTATTGCTTATTTTGGTGTTTTGACATTGTTGAATTGATACGAGCTTTTGTACGTCCTGTTTTTCCTTTTCCGTGTGAAATCAAAGTACATGGAATAGGTCTGTCCATTAGCTACATGTATCTCACGGTTGTTGTTGTTCTCGTTGGCCTCGTTGCTTACAGCTTCACCAAATTTTGCCTGAAATACAAAAATATTATATATATTTAAAGATGATAAAGTGCTGGGCAGAGCGTACAAATTCTTTTAATATGAGCTCGCTTTCCGCCACGCTTATGTTATGCCGCGGGCTTTCCAAATTTCTTGCCATGTGCTCCATTACGAACTCCAGGCGACCCAACTTATAAGCCTGAGTTGCTGGCTGATCGATAAGCATGAGATATACAACCGATATAATTTGAGCCGATATTGCAGATGACATTTTCTCAGTTGGCAGATCGCAAGCTGTCTGGGCCCAAAAAAGTCTTGATGTGAAATGTTAGTTTAACGCTTTTCACGGCCCATTTGCAACGCTTGCGTCAACTTCAAACTCAATTTGAGGCGCAGAAATGTGTCAAATGTGTTGAATGTGAATGAGCGTGGAGGGTGTGTGTGTGTGTGGCAAAGTCAAGACGAGAGGCCCTAACCCCCGTGGTGACCGGGTTATGGACCGTTTAAGTCGCAAACGTTGTGCATTTATTGTGATTTTTATGCAGCTCGCCAGCGTTTTAATAGATTTTTGCATAAAACGCTTCCCAGGGTTACCGTTACTCACTTGCCTAATGTAAACAAGTTATAAAACGCTCGTAAATCGCGACAAAAAAATATACGAAACTATAACGTCATAAAAATGCTATAAAATATGCTACCGTCTAAAAAAAGGGCAACCTTTTTTTATGCCATTTGCGAATTTGCGAAATGCACAAATCGTAAAACAACAACAAAAACAACGGGGTGTGCGGCCAGAACTTGTCGACCCCAAAGGGCGCAGAGCTGGCGAAGGTGTAAGCGTTTGCATCTGTATCTTAGCCTAACATGGCCCCTGCTCTGACCCCTGCCCCTGTGCCCTGCTCATTATCACAAAATCAAAATGCGTTTGTCAATGAATTAGAATGGCTCTGATGTAGATGTTGGGTCGTAAAACGTTTTGGCATTGTTATTGTTTGGGTTTATAGTATTTTTTGACCAAGACAATCTCAGGATTGCTTAACTAACTGTGCTTATCGTGAAGATACTAGCTTTAGAAAGAGTGTACATAACAGTAAATAATTTGCTCCTTACCTTAACAGTATTACAATATTACAAAATACCTTTATGTATATATTCTCAAAATGTATAATACAATTAACAAATTAAATATTTAAAAATCAAAAACGAAAATAACTTTGTTTTAATATATTTCTTATCCGATATATTTAATTAATCTTATTTTATAAAACCACACACTTGAAAGTTGCATGAATTTTAACTGCATGTAGCAATTTATCTTTGACTCTTAATATGGTTTGATATTTATGCGAACATTATTTTTAATTAATTTAAAAATAATTTTCATATTTTTATTTACTACCAAATCCCAACGACTATTTTATTTATTCAATAAAAAATATATTTTTAATTTAATCATTAGTATTAATTTAATATTTCAAATTTTTTATTTATTGACTTATTATAATATTTAATCGCCGCTGTTAAAAAGCGTATTATGTACAAACGTATTGTCGGTATCAGCAAAAGTAAATGTCATATGTTACTACTTTTCATTGTTGTCTACTACTTTTTTCACATGTACTTCGGCAACACTCGTGAAAATCATCCCCAAAACTATACCAGTATTTTCATACTGTACGACGGTACTGTGCTGTGCCTTCAAGTTGCACATTTGACACGAGGTGGAACAAGGCAGCGTGGCCGAGCGGTCTAAGGCGCTGGTTTTAGGCACCAGTCCGAAAGGGCGTGGGTTCGAATCCCACCGCTGTCAGGTTGAGATATTTTTTCCTTCGCTGACAAGGGTTTTTTGTTTAATTTTCATACATGTTTATGCACATAAACATTTATTTGAATAATATATACTTATATTATATGTTAATTGTAATCACCTTTATATGAACACTCGAGTGTTTGTAATTATAATAAATCACGCAATGTTCACAACGAACTTACAATAAATTTTTTTAAAATATATTATAAATAAATTTAAATTTCAAGATTTAATTGGAAATGCAAATCTATATAAAAAAAAATTAACATTCAGCATAATGATATACAAATTGGCTAGCTTTAGGAATTATTTAAATATAGTTAAGCGTACGTAAGAGTAAATATAAAAAAGCGATAATAATATAAGCAATTATAAATAGATTTGGGTTTGATACTACTTAGAACATTCTATTAACAATAAAAAAGGTAGTGTAAAACTTGTATGCCTGAAATCGGGCAGGCGTCATACGGCAGCGTGGCCGAGCGGTCTAAGGCGCTGGTTTTAGGCACCAGTCCGAAAGGGCGTGGGTTCGAATCCCACCGCTGTCAGGTTCACTTAATATTTTTTCCTCTTTTTGTTGGTGGTGGCAAGCACTACGAATATTGCGCGCTTAATTAGGTCTTCCCATGCCCATTTTCCGGCACAGCCGTTTATCTGGCGTTGACATTTCCCGCGTGCGCTTACTTAACTCTATTTTAACCCTTTCTGCGGTAACATGTTGATCTTGTTAGTAACCCGCAGTGGTCGGTCCAATTTGAAAACGAAATAAAAGGGAAAACGACAGGAAATTAAAGGGTTTTGCGGTTCCATGCAACTGTCCTCGCTGCGGGGCGAATAAATGAATCAAATGTTAAGCAAAACAACTTATCTTATGTTTTATTGCTTTGTTTCTAAGCTAATTGGAACCGCGGACGGCGCTGATTTTCTTTAGACCCATATCTTACAGTTTGAGCTGTAAGCCTTTAAAACTTATTTGGGTTTGCTTGTGTAAGAACATTTAAATACAATTTTAAACACTTAAAAAAAAACACGTTGCCCTGCTTGATCGCAGAGTTCTTTGGAATTACATATGTACATACAATGTGACACTTGCATTTGCTTAGATAGTTCTAAGTAATTAGTAAACGATGTTTTCCAAAGAAATTCGAATTCGATTAAATAGCAATGAAGCCTAAAATTTATATTAACATCATATATGTATTTAGTATATATATCCATATACCCTTATTAGTCACTAACATTTTCTACTCACCTCCACGTGCAATTTTATTTATAGTCGTCGAGACCTCGTATATGCGTCAAACTTTGATACAGTTGCATTTCTTGACAAAAATATGATTAAGAAATCTTAGAAAGTCAACCCGGATTGGAATATCTAGCTTGGGTGTGTATAATAGATTTTAGATGGCTGGTGACTGTAACATTTTTAATATCAAATCATTAAAGAAATCTTAAAAGGTTCTCCTATATCTGTACATATTTAGAATAATTTTTTCATACACAATGTTCGAATTTATATACATGTATATGGTTTAATGTATTATTAAAATAATATAATAAATATAAGTAACTAAATATACTACTAAAAATTGACATACTGCATACCATTTAATACTGTCACACACTATCATGTACATATGTATTTACATAGATAATATTTATCAATAAATTGTTTAGAAAATATGTATGTTTCTGATAGCTAAGGTCTTTTTAGCAATGGGAAAGTCTTTCTGTAGGTTTCAAGTTCTTAATTTAATCAAAGAAATAAACCACATCACAATTACACATGTACACCTAATTCTGTAAATACAAAAATTGAAATTTGTTGTACAAGATTATTTTGGATTTAGCACGATTTAAAATATTAAAATGAATCGGTTTTTTTTTTTCAATTTTTTTTCAAATATTGGGGAATTCTGTTTTTCTGGATACAAGCAAAGTAACTTGCTGTGGACAAATTATTTAAATATGTATATGAACAATTTCGTTTTTACACGGGTTTTTTACTGCATATATATTTTTCTGGATCCCAGCTACCGTGTAGGAACATTAGGTTTTTGCATATTATGTCCATGCATATGCATATTTGTGATTTATGATATGGGAATAATATATGTGGACGGTATGTATTTATTTGCATATTAAGATGCGCTTAAGCGTGCTTGACTTTTGATATTCGTATTTCCCTGCAATTGGCTTTGGACGTTGACTCAGCTGATAGGTTCTAATGGAATTTTTTCCGTGCCATGCCAAATACGCATTAGGAACTTGTTACAAGCTCGAGATGTGTTAGGATAGTCCCCCTGTTGACAAACGCAAGCAGCCGTGTGATTCCCATTGCAAAAAGTCAAATCGAAGCCCTGATTACAGATAACTTTTAACATTTGAACTTTTCGTAGCTTAAATTGTATTCGCATGACAAATGGGCAAATCTGTACAAAATGATTTGTTTGAGAACTACCTAAATTGCCAACCAGATGAGTAAACGAAACGGAGCAATTTAGAATCAATTGACCGGAACTTTGTCAGTCATAATTATGACGTCGCATGCGGATTTCATTGACTCGAGCTGGGCTCTGACATCAGGTTCATTGTACTCGCTGTCAAACTGAAAGATATTTTCCCCGAACATAGACGCATTTTGGTATTTTCGGTGTCACCCAGTGACATGCATTTGTATGCGTATTATGTGTGGCATATATGTACGTTTCTCCAGCAAATTTTGTTAATATTTCCAAGGCTAATTAACTAATAGTAAAGCGTTTTGACCACAAGTTAAGTCCCCTTTGGCCAACAAACGCGGCTCATTGAGGTTTGATTCCAGCTGCTGATTAAGCCGTAAACGATGCTCCGATTGTTTTCGAGTTCTTAACACCGGTTCTCAGACTCAGACTCAGCCTCAGACTCAGACACGTACTCGGCTTCTTCTTGTTTTAACTCTCAGCTAACCCGATCGCTTCGAACTGCGGCTATAAAAGCCCTGCCCTGCCAGCCAACAGCTCACAGTTTCATTTCGCGAGCTAAACGCGTCTAGTCTGGCGGCTAATATATAAAATATAAATATCTATCATAGTCAAATGTTAATATCTTTATCTAGTGCCAAATCTAATTAATACAAAAATGAAATTAATTTTCTTATTGCTGTGCATTTTGGCTGTGGAAAATACAAACGCGCGTTGTAAGTGACGAATTCAAACCAAGAATTCCCTGGCATTAATTAGAAAGTGATTTGTTAAAGAAAAAAAAACCCCCCAAGAACTGGGCGCATCTTCAACGCGCGCTTTTGGGAAAAATGCCTAATCATATATTAATTAATAATTAATAAACAGAAAAAAAACAGTGCGTGCCAAGTTCAATGCCACTTTTACTAATTAAACGTTCCGCGTTGCTCTGAATATGCGTTTTAAGGATTAATCATAATGATCAAGAAAATAAAAAAAGATCTGTAAAGAACGGCATGGCAAAGATTTAATACCCTTATAGACAAATAACTGACGTTTTTTGTCTATGTTATGCAAAAAGTGAAGCTCGTAATTGCTCAGTTCGGCCAAGATATCTTAAATAAATAAAATAAAGAAAGGTTTTCCTGCAAAGCTATGTGATATATAATAATCCGATGTTCCTAAGATTTTGCTTATATGTGAGAAACATTGTGATTCAAGAAAATTTCTTGAAAAACAAAAGAGTTATTCATACAAGACCTTAAGTTTCGGTTGATAATTCTATGCCAGATATATGATATATTAGTCCAATGTTAAAAAGATTAGTTCAAGTATTCTATAAATGAACCCATCGTTCTTATAACAGATATATTATATACTAGTCCGTTGTCAATAAGATTTGGCTCATATGTATGAAGCATAATAAAATTGATAAACGTCAAGATATCTGGCAAAAAAAAGATTTTCATGCATGGAATAAATATTGACCTAGTTCCTATGGCAGTTTTATAATATAGTGATCCGAATAAGGAAATTCTGTTAGTTTATGAGATCATTTCCATTTGTGCGTCACACAGTTCTCGAGCAAATTACAATACCCACTGCATAGGGTATGCAACAATTGTGGTGCAAACGCTGGAATGTCGCTGACTTGGTGGCCTGGCCGCGTGTATTCTGGTCGGTACTTCCCCCAAAACCAGATTTCTGATCGTATTTCTTTTCCCTTTGCAGATGCGCGTTGCATAAATCCCAACCAGCGCGCCGGCCTGTGTGTGCAGATAAATGAGTGCCAGACATTGTATTCGGTGCTGCAGCAGGCGAACCTGTCGCCGACAGAGAAGCAGTTCATCAAGGCCTCCAGTTGTGGTGTGGGCCAAGACAATCGTCCGTTTGTCTGCTGCACCCGGGACACGGGCTATACGCGCAGTCGTCGTGTGACGCCCAACTTTGGGGACTATGCGGACTTCAGTGATCTCAGCGAGGGTTACGATTTTGACTGGAATCGTGCACCCAACACGCCGAGTACTGTGCTTTTTCCCAGCGCTGATCGCCGACCCTGGAGCTTTGGCATTGAGGAGCAGACAGCAGACAGCAGCCGGCTACAGGGCCAGGGCCAGCCCCAACAGGTAGACGGTGCCAGCCTGCTGCCACAGCCGCCCACCTGCGGCGGCGTGACCATAGACAATAAGATATATGGCGGCGAGGATGCTGACCTAAACGAATTCCCCTGGATGGTGCTGCTGGAGTACAGACGCCTGGCCGGCACCGGACTCTCGACCAGCTGTGCGGGCACGCTAATCAACCAGCGCTATGTTCTAACAGCTGCCCATTGCCTGGTCGGACGCATTCTGCGCGAAATTGGACCACTGTGAGTAGAGCAGCCCAGAGAACTGGTTCACTAATTCCTAGTAGTAGTAGTATAACGAAAGTCCGGACGCTTAATCACGCTAACAATTTCACGCATTTCTGCGAATTGAGCAACGCTTTCCAGCAACTAATTACGCGGCGAGGAGTCCCCGCAGCTCAGCTAAACACCTTGTATATGTATTTTTTTTTGTACTTTGCGAGTGGGTCTCTTATTGTTGTTTTTGCTTGACTTAGCGTTTGTTATTGTTTTTTTTTCTAACTTTAAGAATATTAATTAAGTTGGCCAAACCAGATTCAAAGCGTTTAGCTGCTGCTTGTTAACGTGATTCATTCAATGTTGCGCCGGGTGGGCTGCCTGGCTGGGTTGGGGGGTCTGGGGTTCTGGGGCATGGGACGGGTTCAAAGTGGATAACAATTCGTTGCGCTCTTAATTTACTTGACCGGTTGCTTTTTTGGGTGTTTAGCGGCTGGCACGTTCGCACTTTTAAAATTCAATTAGCTATATCTGATTTCCTGCTAAGCAAGCGCCCCATGCTTTAACTCAATTTTCATATTGTTTTATAATTAATTTTTTTTAGTGCCTCCGCGCGTTTGGGCGAGCACGATACGCGCAGTGCAGTGGACTGTCCCGCCGGCGGCGGGCGGCCCTGTGCGCCGGCAGCGCAGCGCTTGGGCGTTGAGGAGATGCGCGTACACGAGCTCTACAAGGAGAAGACGCCCAATCAGGCGCACGACATAGGCCTGGTGCGTCTGGAGCGCAATGTGCGCTACTCGAACAGCATACAGCCCGTCTGTCTGCCCTCGGTGGTGGCGCCGGAAGCAAAGCGTGCCGGACAACAGTACACGGTGGTCGGCTTTGGCCGTACGCTGCAGACCGCACGCAGTCCCGTCAAACAGAAGCTATCGGTGGGCTTTGTGGAGCCGGCGCAGTGCAAGCGCAAGTTCGCCGAGCGCAAGATCAGCATAATGCCGACTCAGATGTGTGCGGGCGGCAAATATGCGCAGGATAGCTGCGACGGCGACTCCGGCGGACCGCTGATGCGCTTCCGCGACAATGCCTGGGTGCTGGAGGGCATTGTCTCCTTTGGCTACAAGTGCGGCCTCAAGGACTGGCCGGGCGTTTACACAAGCGTCGCCGCCTACGACATTTGGATAAAGCAGAATGTGAGAGCCTGAGCGCAGCTCTCTAGCCTAGCTTTAAACTGAAGCTCGAATTGTGATCTTGCCTACATACTCGTTTATATGCATATCAATAACATACTAATTTAACAACTAGGCATAAGTGTTAGCTATTTTAGCCAATAAATATTAAAATATTATACGTATTTTAGAGACAATGCACACAAAGTGAATGAACTGCCTTTTGAAAAACCTTTGGATTTTCCAAAACAATCGCCTGCCATTGACATTGCCACCGCGCTTTAATTGGCCACCGCATAAACATAAGCCACAAGAAAACTTCCGGTAACAACTGGCCACGACAACAGCAGCCGCTGCCTGTCCCGCCTGGTCTGTTGGTCTGTGGACTTTGGCCAAAGCTTTGCGGTTGCGTCTCGTTTCCATGCTAAATGTTGCCTATAAGTATGACGTTTGGAAGTGTATTTTCTGGTCTATATAATTTTATATTTTTAAATCATGACAGGTGTCACTTTATTTAATCACACACAAAGTGTGATTCTTTCCATTGTTGTAATAATTATCTGCAGTCTGTAATTCAAGCAAGACAACTCTTGTTAACTTAAGACTTCACAGCTTAACACTTTACTTTACTTTACACTTTACTCCAGGCGAGGATGTCGCGTTCCAATCTGAGGCTAGTTATTATTGGAGCGACTTCTCCGAAGGAAGTCTAGGATTCGACTAAGCTTATTAAATAGTTGGGTTATTCGGTTATCCTCGTCAAAAATTTAGTAAAATAAAAAATTAATAAGAGTATAACTTACTATTTAAAAAATAATAATAATACCTTAACAACTAAAAAAACATTTCTGCTATTATAATTACTAATGCTAATAATTCTAATAATAATAATTAATTATTAATTATTTAATTATTATTATATTATTATTATCATTATTATTGTTATTACTTTAATTTTTATCATTATTATTTTTATATATATTTATAATGATAATATATATATTATAATAGTAATCATATCTTTTTAACTCTTGAAAAAAAATACATTTTGCTATGCAAACTATAAACATCATTTTTTATAAGATAAAATGTTTTCATAAAATTCATCAAATTTAAACTCTTGATGATTAAAACTGAATTCATTATGAGATATTATTTTTATTATTTTTTAGAAAATTGATAAAACAAAGGCGAGTTTTGCGAATGTGAACAGTGCATAAAATTTGAATGAGACGACAATCAGTAAAGAAAACCTTGACGCTTACTCAGGTGCTCTCACACGCGCCGAATCTCATCTGCAGCAGGGACACTTTAATTATCAGGTTAAGCCAAATTTATATGTTGGATTTTCCGATCCAATGAGTTATTGTCTGTGAGAATGGGATATGTGAGATTTTGAATTGAAAATTGTATAACAAATTTTGTTGCTTCTTAATTTAAAAATTTTATTGCTGCTATCTTTTTAATTGTATTGCTTAACCTTTTTAAAAAAAATAATATTGCTTCTTAATTTTAAAAAATATATGCCTTCGAAATATTGTAAGTTTTATTGCCACAAAATTATTAAAATTTAATTGCATCTAAACCTTTTTTTTTAAATTTTTCAAATTTCATTCCATTTGTTACATTTTGTTGATTCTATATTTGTAATGAATTATTGCTTCTAAATTAGCTAAAATCGTATTGCTGCTAAATTTAAAAATTTATATTGCTTACAAATTTTTACATTTTTTTTTTGCTTTTATATTTATTTGAATTTTATTGCCTTTAATTTTATTGCTTCTGAATTTTTCAAATTTAGTTGCTTCAAAATGTCGTAGATTTTGTTGCTATTAAATTTTTTAAATTTTGAGGTATTTAAATTTTTGAATTTTTAAAATATTCTTGCATTATAATTTTAAACTCTTTATTGCTTCTGAACCCTGTAAATTATATTGCTTCTGTATTTTATGAGTTAAAAATTTTTTTGTCTATTTTATTTGTTTAAATTTCATATCTTCCAAATTAATAATATGTCTTACTATTTATTTATTTTTGAATTGTTTACATTTTTACATCTATGGATAGATATATCAAACGCGTAGCCAACTTAAGACAGACTACGCTATTTTTTTCGAAATGGACTACATGAGCTACACGACATGACAGATCTGACAGATCAAAACTTGAAGCAATTGGACTATGTGATCTTCAGTTCAAAGCTGTCGAAAGCTTTTGACATCATTTAAAAAAAGCTCCTCCTAAAAGTAGGCAATGCAAAGGCACAGTTCGAGCCGCGAATGAAAGTGAAAACAGAAAAAAAAAACATGAATTGGCTGCACAGCTGAGAGCTGATTGCATAACCGGACCCGGGTACCAGTTAGCGAGCGGGCAGCAACAACAACAACGCCTGACCGTTGCTCCCGTTTCGTTGACGGCGATTGCAGTTTTGGGCTCGTTTTGGTGTCACAAGCTGCGGGGGCGGCGACGGCGGGCTTAAACAGTCGCTGCTGTCGTTTATTTATTTATATATTATTTGATTTTATTTTTTGGCACTCCGAGCTTCGGCTCTTCCGAGTCGCAGCTGAGGTTTCGGTTTCGGTTGCGGCTGCGGTTGCCGCTGAGGCCGTTGCGCGCAGCATTCAAATTCGATTTTAATACACGGCCGAGCGTTCACGCGAGCGGATTCACTTTTGTGTGCGTTTTCATTCAGCCGCTCGACAATCGACAAACGACATACGCGACATTCGTGACATTCGCGACATTTGCTTTTTGCCAGTGCACGCGTTCGCGATTGCGTATACGCCGTGTTGCCCCCTTTGGCCCCGCTGTTTGTTGTCACACATTGTTTGCAGCTTGAGGCCTGTTCGCAATCGATTGGAAATCGCATTGTTTGACTTGAATTCAGCCGATCGCTGATGTACCCGTACCCAAAGATCGGCGCATTGTGGGCGGCCAGCGCCCTTGCCCTACTCGTCGGCGCAGCCAATGCTCAGCCAGAGCCGGCGCGCCAGGCCTGCGACATACCCAACGAGACAAAGCGTGGCGTCTGCGTGCCGGTGAGCCAGTGCGCCGCCTATTTGCAGGTGCGCAATGTGACCAACCTGAGCTCGGAGCGCGTCAACTTTCTGAAGAAGGTGCAGTGCGAGGTGGAGACAACAGCAACGGCAACTTCAAATTCAACGGCAACGGCAACAGCAAATGCTGATGCTGCAGATGACGATTCGAATGAGTCCGCCTACAAGCCGCTTGTCTGCTGTCCGGCAAATGGCCAGGATTATCTCTATCCGGTCATACAGTTCTCCAAGTTCGAGTATCGTCGCTTTTTGGATGTCACCGCGCGCTTCAAGCGGAAGAAGCTTAAGCGACGCATCCAAACCGTCGAGCCCAGCACGGGCTTCAATCTGTTGAACGAGTGCGGCAAACAGGTCACAAATCGCATCTATGGCGGCGAAATAGCTGAACTGGACGAATATCCTTGGCTGGCATTGTTGGTCTATCATTCGAGTAAGTTATGAGCTCTATATGCATTTATGTGGCATCTTGATTGGAGACTCACACTAAAAACTGAAGACCTTTCTTCACTAGTCTCACAATTGAAAAAAAAATTTCAGAGATTTTGTTCTTTGAATTTTTAAGGATTCTTATGTATTAAGTTAAAACAGCCTTTGTATGCTATATACATAAAAGTGACTTTATTAAAACTTGGAGCAAAAAGTAGCATAAATTGTGTTTTAATAATAAACAAATCCAGAACCAATCCTAGAACCAGCAAAATTAAAATCTTATAGAAATTAAAAATAGGTCTACAACTATTGATATACACCAAGACTTCGACAACACGAGAAATCGTGCTTCGAATATTTATTTTAAAAATCAAAGTAATTAAACAACATTTTTTTAAAATATTTTTAAGAAACAATAATATACTGATCGATTGAATTAATTAAAAACACGTTTCATAAAAAAAGTGTGATATTCCTCAAAATATTAATATTTAAGCTTATAGCTCCCTTGTAATAATATTTTTTTATATTTATATATATATATATATATTATATATTATATATTTATATTTTATTTTAGTCCAAGAGTTTGGGAATAGTTTAGAAATGATAATTTGCTATATTACAATAATTTCTGATTTGTTAAATTTTTGGAAATATAAAAATAAAATATTAATTTTGTTATTAATATTTCAAAGACTTCAACAAGTTTTAAATACTTGGCCAATTACCTTTATTATTATATATATATATATATGTATATTTATTTATGACATTTAAAAATAGTAATTAAATCATTTTTTATTAATATATTATTACCTTCACCCACAGATGACTACGGCTGCAGCGGCGCTCTGATCGACGATCGTCACATTCTGACTGCCGCCCACTGTGTCCAAGGCGAGGGCGTGCGCGAGCGGCGCGGCTTGTAAGGCTATTGAGCCAGGAATATATAGCTTCTATTGAATAAATCGATTTCTACTTCCAGAAAACACGTGCGTCTGGGCGAGTTTAATGTCAAGACAGAGCCGGACTGCATTGAGGAGCCAAACTATTTGAGCTGTGCAGACGCGGCACTGGATATTGCATACGAGCACATACACGTGCATCCGGAATACAAGGAGTACTCCAGTCACAAGTACAACGATATAGCCATAATCCGTTTGAAGCATCCGGTTAGTTTCACGCACTTCATCATGCCCATATGCCTGCCCAATCAGAGCGCCCAGACGCCGCTCATCGAGGGCCAAATGTTCTCCGTTTCCGGCTGGGGACGCACCGATCTCTGTAAGTGTGGCTTAGCATCAAGTGGAACTGCCTGGTTAACTGTTTTTTACGTTTTCTTTCAGTCAACAAGTACTTTATCAACACGCACAGCCCCATCAAACTAAAGCTGCGCATACCCTATGTGTCCAGCGAGAACTGCAGCAAGATGCTGGATCTGTACGGCGTGCGTCTTGGCCCCAAGCAGCTGTGCGCCGGCGGCGAGAGGGCCAAGGATACGTGTGCCGGCGACAGCGGTGGTCCGCTCATGTTCTTCGATCGCCAGCATTCCCGCTGGGTGGCCTACGGCATTGTAAGCTACGGATTTACGCAATGCGGAGCCGGGCCTGGAGTTTATACGTCTGTCTTGAGCTATATTAGCTGGATCGAGAGCATTATCAAGCCGTAGGAAGAAAGACAGAGAGAGAGAGAGAGGGAGAGAGAGAGAGATATGTGGAGCGTTGACGTCATATTTGGTTTTGGAGACATTTCAAATACCCAATAACAGCTGGCGCCTAGTTGAGGGGGCTGGGCGGCGGGGCGTGCAATCCACGGAACTGTCTCTAAATATTTGTACATATTTTGCTAATTATCTAACAGTAAATTACTGTGTGTGTGCGTGTGTGTGTGTGAGTGTGTAGGCGTATGCGTGTGTGAGTTAACAAAAGTCTGAAAAACATGTTTCTATTTAAATAAGCTATTAAAATATTTACACACACTAGCGCGTTTCCAATTAATCAAATGCCAGAAAAGTTTCAAGACCTTAACTGGCCTTGGCTCTGCTCCAGCTGCAACTGGAGCTTGATTTGTGGCTGCCTCAAAGATGACTCAACGCGCGGAGCTTTGCTGCAAAAACATTAAATATAAAAAGTAAACAAATTACAACAAAGAAGAGTTTAGTTTCTTGCCCGTTGGGTACTCGCACTTAGTAAGCAGCGCGTGCCCTTGAGCCAGCGGGGTGTGTCTATTGGGAAGAGGCGAAACGTAAAGAAAATGGCCAACAGACAGCTGGATGGGCAGCTGAACAGCCAGCCAGACAGTTATATAGACAGGCAGTCAGCTGTTTCACTTTTTACATCCCTGCTGCAGCTGGTTTAACTTGATATTGCAGTTTTCGTATACCCTACCAGAGGATGCTATCATGTTTTAACGAAATATGTAACGCACAGAAGCAGGCATATCTGAGTCCATAACGGACACTCCTATAAAGCGGACACAACTCTTGGACAGACATTAGGAATCAGGACATCAGGAATCACACTATGAATCAGATCATATCAATTACCAATGACACCTCTACTAGCGGATTCTTCTTTAGAGCGGACAAACATTACCCGACTATCGCTGTCCACAAAAGAGAGTTTTCACTGCGTATATATTCTAGTTCGTATTCGTGTCCGTCTGTCTGTCTTATCCGCCTGTCGGTCAGTTTCTGTGAAAAATAGTATTTTAATATTTAAAGTAATGTAAATGAAAGATTGTTATTTTTGCTGTATATAAACTTATGTCCAAGTCGAGTCATTATATCATATAGCATAATAGCATTATTCTTCAAAAATGTAGTTCATTTATAAACAAATATTGTTTCAATTTTATTTTAAGATCTTAAAATAACAAAAACCTAGTGAGAATAAAGATAAAGAAAAAAAGAAAATAAGAATCCATGTTAGAATACTATCTTATCTTTTCAAGGTTTAAAATAATTATACTGCAATATATACAATAATATAATAAATTAAATTATAATTTAATAATACAAGGTTTAACATGCTTCTAAAATGAAAAAAATTCTATTATTTCGGAAATGCTATATCTATAGTTCTATAATATTATTCGCTATAACAAGAGCTATAAAAAAAATTAAGTTTTTGATTCAATAGCTTTGCTGATTATCAACAAATCTTGAGTAAATTCAACAATTTTGATCTACCTCAATAAATCTTTAGGAAATTCTCTAATTTTCCCATATACTTATTAGATTCGAACCATGCATAGATTCATACCATACAGATACCTCGGGAACGGTAGGTTAAAAATTGTTTAAAAAACTTTGTCTTCAAGCTTACTGGGAAATATTGGAACAAGATAGGTGTACTATATCACATAGCTTCCATAGGAAGAATCGCTTCAAAAAGAAAGTTGAAAATATTATAAGGTATTCGATCTTCGTCACTCCATAGTACAAGCTTTTTCTTGATTTTTTGTTGTTGATCGTCTTTTGATGTCGTCATTGATTGCCACACTTTGCTTTCACTCGTCATTCGCGTGTACTCCAGACCTGGCTCAACGTTGGCTCAACGCTGGCTCTGCTGCGGCAAATATTGAGCGTGAACAGTGATGCAACGCAGACCAAATGAAGACGAGTCGGGCTCGAGTGCGGGCCAGGCCAAGAGACAAGCTAAAGCCAACTGCCCAAATTCAAATCGATGCCATTCATCAGGCCAAGCCGAGTTGGCCAAAAATAGCCGCAGACAGAGCAAGGCATTTGTATGCACAGTTAGGTTAGCCGCTGCGATTCGAACTGTGCCACTGACCAAAATTGGTCTCTGGCCAACTCTGAATGCTGATGATCATCATGTTGTAGTTGTTGTCATTATTGTTGTTGTTGTTGCTGCTGCTGATGATGATGATGAAGTGTGCGTCAGCGTAGTGAAAGTGAACTTGACTCTTTGACGGGCTGCTGCTCGACTGCGGCTGCTGCTGTTGATGTAAATGTTGTTGTTGATGTTAATGTTAATGTTAATGCTGTGCATGCACATGTGTGCGTGTATGTGTGTGTAATATGCCGCATTAAAATTCATGATGATGTTTATCAGGCAGAAGAAGACAGCGCGACGCTTTTGCTGTATTTGTTGTTGTTGCTGCTGCTGCTATCGCTGTTTGCGCTGCTCATTACGAAGCTTTGCTGATTTTTGGTTAACCTTGAACTACATAAATATGTATGTATATAGATGTATACATAAATAAATATTATACAAACGAATGCAAAGAAATTGGCAAACATTTTTGACATTGAATACTATCAATGAAATTGAAATCAAAAATTAACACCTAATAATTTAATTCGGTGTATATTAATAATTTCATTTATTTTTTTATGTAATCTCTGTATATTAAACAGTTTGCACGACGATTTGTTCTTCATTCGATTGATTTTAAGCTTATTTTTAAATATCTCTGTAGAATTTAACTTAAGATATAAGCTTTCAACGGGCGGGACCTGGATGAAAAAGTTATTTCTAACATTTTAAGCATAAACATTCCAGGGGCAAGGCTGGGTAGTACCCGCGATATGTACATACATATTTTTGTGTCTATGCATGTAGAGCATGTATATATGTATGAATGTATTTATGTATATATGCATGTATGTATGTATGTATGTGAGTGTATAGTTGTATGTATGTGTTTGTGCATGTGTGTATATGTGTATGCATGTAGTTATCTATGCATGTAATTACTGATGCATGTATTATGTAGTATGTATTTAGTTAAAAGGCCAATTAAAAGTAGTCTTTACTTATTCCCTTCTACGCGATTCTCATGAATTCTAGTAAGTTTCATGGGCTTCACTTCAAGTGGAGGAGACGACGGCTTTAATATTAGAGGAAGCGACTTAAGCAAAGGAGGGGACGGCGACTTAAGTTTAGGAGAAGGCGGCGGCTTAAATATTGGAGGAGACGGCAAATTAATTAAGGATCAGGCGGCGGGTTAAGTATCACGGAAGCGGCGACTTAAACAAAGGACGAGGCAGCGGCGGCTTATACAATGAAGGAGACAGCTACTTTAACTAAGGAGGAAGCGGATTCAACTATGGAGGAGGCAGTGCCAATGGCTTTGACGGAGGCTACTGAAAAACAAGTACGTATTGTAAGCAAACAATGTCTTATTGTATTTAAAAGTAACAACGATTAAAATCGTATTAAATAATGTTAGTTTCTATGTATTTGTATTTAAATATATGCGTATGTTGAGCTGAGCTGAAAATAAGAAAAAAACGCATTTATAAATTTAGCTCTACTCTCGCGATTCTCACTAATGCAAGCTGCTATATAGAAAGAAAATTGAGAGAAAAAATATATAGACCGATTTGTGAATAGATTAACATATGGATATAAAGATAATTAACTAAAAATTGTTAAATAAGTGACCTTTTAGGCCATCTGTCGCTTTGAGTACCCCACAGCAATTTAGCAGCCAGCGCTAACCGCAAAAACTGAAAAATGAGGAGGAACTGAAAAACTGTATGCATTAAGGGCAAGCAACTGATTCGCTTGAAGTACAATAGAGGGAAAAAGCTGCCACGCCCACGAAGTTGCCAATAAAGCCAATTTGTATTTATGGACGACAAAAGGTCGTCTAATCAATTTATAAGTCTGAGCCACCCTCCATTTGATAATTGAGTTACGTAACGTTTTTGCCGCTGCGGCTTTTGTGTAAAAAGTTTGTTTGGACAAAATTGGAAAATTAAAAGGTAGACTCCATAAAATTAGCCATATGGCATGAGCTAACTCTACAGGTGCAGAACCGTTGACTGTAAACGCTTCGAGCTGGCTTTATTATATGTTTCGTTCTTTTTATGTCCTTGGCAATTGGTTTTCTATTTATTTGCAGCTGAGCACCCAAATGCATAACGATAAAAGTTTATCGATTTGTTAATTTCGCGCTGCTCATATCAATAAATGCGACAGACGTTGACATGCCGTTAAATGTCACAGGACGGGACAATACAGGACATTCGGGGCACAGGATACAGCCATCAAATGCTTTGCATGACAAGCACATGCGAACCAGGGGAAACAGGGGTAAGAGCAAGGGTAACTCACACAGCATTTGGGCGAAATTGTTGTGGAAATTCAATGAAATTAGAATGTAAAAAAAAGGAAATATAGCGAAATGTGTGCAGCAGATCGGTTTCATTAGTTAATGGATTCTCAATCGAATTACAGAAAAAATAAAAACAGAATTAGTGCCAAGTGGGAGGGCAAAAAGTCATACAATATGAGTTCTTATCGGAGTTAAGGCGTTTTGCCTCTTATGAACCGAACGGAAAGCATAAAAAAGAGCACACTTTACAAAACCGAAGCTTCAATACACTTTCTTCATAAGTGAAAGCGACTAAAGAGGTTTTTAAATTGATTAAAATGGAAGAGTCCGGGGCTTGGAACTATTCAAGTCAGGTTTCATCTTTAATATATATTAATCGTATCCTACTCTGGTAACTTTGATTTTCAATATTTATTCGAAAATTAGGTGAAGAACTTATAAGTAAAAATGGCTTCATAAAAATATGATCAATTTCATAGCCCCAGGTTAAAATTCAGACTCTAATTTTTAGAATTTCTTAAAGGGTCTGACACAAAATAAAAAAATATTTTTAGACTTATTCTTTTGGCAGCCTCTATTTAATAGATAATTCGACTTGCGTCAGCGGATATAGGGTATAATCAGTATATACACTGCAAAGACACTTGATTATCTGCTCTGCGGCTCAAATAACTGTCGATTCTGAAGTCAACAATAACAAATGAACATTCCCCATGTAACACTTGAACTTAGTGCACGCATAAACTGACGGATCGCCATAAAATATATATAGTAAATCAAGGCCTAATGTGGCGCGTTTGCTTGATATTAGCTCTATTGAGTGGATATTTCCTGCTTGTTGAGAGCAATCAGCGGAACTCTGTAGAGGTGCGTAGTTGCAGTCGTTGAATGTCACTTGCATCTACTTTCCACAATTCTTGTTCCCGCAGTATGTAAGTGGTCATACCCAGACACTGTCTCAAGAAGGACCCGCCGCGATTATGTTTGGAAATCCGCGTCCCACTTACTTTGGTCGGCACGGATGGCGACAGATGCAGGGCCAGGACAAAAAGTATAAAGGCGCGCGCAACAGGCAAAGGAAGCACAGGAATGGCCCAACTAGAGCGACTACGAAGAAGTCTTTCAAGCATAAATTATTGTATAAAGTGAATGTGCATTAAACGTGGCGCCCCAAAAGTATGCAATAAAACGAAAGAACAGAAGAGTATTATTAAACTCTAACTGTGAAATACTGAATACCCTACTAAACTTACAGCATGAATTGGATTTTTATAATGTCTGGTATATGTAATTATATTGATATTAATATCTTTATAGATCACTAGCGGATAATTTAAATCTACCGTCTTGATTTGCGCTTCCATTAATATGTTTATTTATATGTTTAAAATTCATAAAATGACATCCCAAATGTTGGAATCAACAGTTCAAATGAAAAAGCCGAAAAATAAACTTTCGTTCATTGAACCCGCATTTTTTATTCAAGAGCGGTGAACCCTCTGAAAACCTATCAAATTAATTCTCACAAAGATCTTTGAAAATGATTTTGGTTTAGGTTTATGGCTTAGGCTGTGCGTTGATCACTAATCAGCCAGTCAGTCAGTCAGGAGAAACAGTTTTATCTATAAAGAAAGCAATTGTATCCTAGTTCCCAGTCAGAATCAGATCTAGTTATTCTAACCTATGGAACTCTTAGTTTTTAATTATGGCGTCTTTATTAACTGAAGCATTATAAGATTGCTCAAACTATTTTCGGGCACAGAGCTGCAAACTTAAAGCAAAATTGTAGTTGCTTCCGGGTTTGATTAGGGTCTGTTTAAAACATGCAGTCTTGTTCCTTAAATTGCAGGAAGAGAGTCATTCCGTCTTCTGAACAAGAAAGGCTCATGTTCGCACTTTAGAATTTTTAAATATCTAAGTCTTAGCTGATAGATAAAATAGAAGCTTATAAATATGGATAGTTTTAAAGTTAATCACTATGCAATCAACAAAAAGTGATAACACGTCTTCATGGGTTCATGTTGTTTGCCTTAACGAGTTTGTTGTTTCAATTGAAATCCCACCCAGAAGGGCATACAATCCTCTGCAGGGTCAACTGTACGCTGTGGCGTATAGCTCAGTGGCACGTGGCGCTAACGCAAAATCAACAAAATCTGTAAATATAAACAGCAATAGACATTAGATTTTTAATCAACGTGAGCATAATGGAAAAACGGGAAAACCTTCAATGATAATAATCACACAACACACGCGACTCGTGATGCAAAATTATGACTTTCATATTGTGCGAAAATTGTGTCGGCAAATTTGCATATTGCCAGCGAATCGCCTGTATACCCCCCTCCCCCTCCACAATGAATCGAGTTGTTCAATATTTATTAAAAATTAGCAACAAGCTGTTGAAATGAGTGGAAAACCATTTGCGGGTGGTGGAAAAGTGTGAGAGGCTGCTGATGCGAATCGCACCGTCGACTTCGCTTCCTTCCGTCTATCTCATTTGCGAGAGGAGGGTTGGCAGCGGGGCAAACGTAAAAAAAACGTGTGCAAATTATGAATTTTCCCTTATAATTGTGCAGACTGTACAGTGAGACTATGCATATTTATTTTATTGAAATTATATTGCTGACAACAATCGCCCAATGTGCCGGAAGTAATGCAATGAATTCGCCAGCACTCCACCTTACAGAGAAGGTGAAAGGTCTGCCCTGCAATCTAAGGCAGTGGGTCAAAGCCGCAGGGCAGAGTCCACGCAGTCCACACAATAAAAAGAATATTTAATTCCAATTTGGTGGCCCACAAAAAACACAAATTTGCATACGAAAAACTAATTATAAACATTTTGTAACATTTTCTTTAAAATGAATGCATTCTTTTTTTTCTACAACTAATTGAAATTTTGAACTGCTGAGCAAACAGAAGGCGGGTGGGCGTGAGGCAGGGGGTGTAGCTAAACAAACAACGACATATGTATGTGAATGTGTGGCTGGGGGGTTAGGTGGGGTGGGGCATGGCAACGGGGTGCTTGTTAGCTGTACAACCAGATGACAAATTCGTGTCATTTAAGCAACGCACAAATAAATAAATAAGCAGGGAGGCGTTCCATATGTGTGTTTGCGTGCGTGCGTGTGTATGTGCGTGAGTGTGTGACGCAACACTTGTGTCTTTTGGCAATTTGCCCCAAAACTCGAGTGCCACTCGCTGTGGCAAGACAGCTTCAATTTGCAGCTGCATCAAGTTAGGCAACATTTTTTGCACATTAGCAAAGCGACACTTGAAGTTGAAAGTGCTGCTGATAATGCGACAAAACTACCGAAGAGCCAAGAGCACTTGAAGCTGTCAGCGAGTTACTTGCCACACACACACGTACACGTACACACACACAGACACACCTACTTGCCACAGTCAGCGGCATGTTTGCCAAAAATATTTTCAAAGTCAAATACAATTTGATAGCAGCAGCAGACAATGCCAAAGCCTCGCCCTGGGCGCGCCCAACTACGAGCAACGAGATTGAGATTTTCTGGAATATGGCAAAAAAGGGACCACATGTGGCCAGCTCCATTTGTTGCCACTGCTGCCCTTTGTGTGGCTGTGCGGCTGTGTGGCACACAGCGACCCGCCTAACTATTATGCAAATAACATTAATTGTTTTGCCAAACAAAAGGGCGAAATCGCAGCGGAAATTGGAAATGTGAACTGTTCTCGTACCCAAAAATACAAAACACACACACACACCCAATTCTGGCCAAGTGATACAATTTTTGAGCCGCTAACCCTAAATCTATAGAACTATAAACGCCAAACGCCACATGTAGTCCCAAGAGGTAAAATGATGCTGGAAAAGCGATTCATTTAAATTTGATATGGCATGCTTAAAATCGAAATTGTGGCAGTCATATACATATATAAGATAAAAGGTACAGTCCCAACATCAACAACAACAACTACGACAACAACAGTAATAACAACCCCATAAAGCATTTGACGGTCCATTCGCGGGTAGTTAAAAGACAGAAACACCACCACCACCACCGCGCACATTTTTTGGGTTACGAGGTGAAAATCCTGCAAACTCAGCAAGAGCTCTCAGACACTTTAAGATGCTACACTCAAAAAAAAAATATATATAAAATGCTTGAGAATGAGGCAAAATCTAGCTTCGAATGCCAGAAAACTTCGGGCTCGAATTCTATGTCACCTTAACCTTTTGAGGACAATCTATAATAAAATATGTTTTTGTACAATTTTTTATAAATTTTTTATTTACATCTATTTTTTGGTATTCTTTTATTTTATTTATATTTTATTTTTATTTTATTTGTAATATTATTTTATTTTCAAATTATTCTTATTTTTCTTATTTTATTTTTTTTTCATTTTATTTTATTCTTATTTTATTTGTATTTTATTAAGAATAAATTTATTTTGCTTTCTCTATTTTATAATATTTGTATTCCTGTTGTTATTTTTATTTTATTTTATTTTTATATAACTTTTATTTTACTTCTTTTATAGTTTTGGCATTATTTTTACTTTCTTTGTATTTTATTTTAGTTTTCATGTTATTCATCATTTATTTTACTTTATGTGTATTTATTTGTATTTAACCTTATTTTTATTTTATTTAATTTTAATTTTTATTTAATTTTTTTTTCACGTTTGTGTGTTCTATGACCCTATTTTTGCTCAGTGTAATATATGGTATTGAGCTTGGGCATTCATATGCTGAGCATATGTCTTGACAGAGGCAGTTGCCATTTTTTAATCGCTCACAGCCAAATGCCAACCTACTTGATGCGCGTTCGCTTTTTCCCATTTTCCTTTTCCTTTGACTGGTGCTGCTTTGGGCTTTTCAGGTTTTTCCGCTGCCGCTGCCGCTGCTGATGCTGCTGGCTTTTGTGTTACAGTCCAACGATTTGCATATGAATGAGCGTAATAAGGCGTCGCAAGGAAATTAAAAGTAAGCAGGAGCAGCAGAGGCATCCTTGTGGCACATGTGTGCTGCAGAGCACAAAGGAGTGCTCGGGAGTGCCCGGAATTGCACGGCAGTGCCCGCTAGTTCCAGTTGGCTGCTGGTTTCATATATAATGAAACATTCCTCGAGTGCGGAATTAATAGCTATGATTTGTCTTTTGTTGTCTTGGAGTAGGCCTTAAATTGCATTCAATTGTTTAATTGAGCGGAAGCAGGCGGAGCGCAATGCGTCTTTGAGGAAGTTGTGGAAATATTGTACCTCAGGTGCTGAACCAACTACATATACATATATAAATATATATATATATATATATAAAGGCAAAGACCAGTTCCGTTTCAGCTGATGAGCTGCAATTATCGTGTGTATTACATAAACTACGAAAATCCCCTCGGCCGGAAGTGACTTTTATAGAAATTACGACGCATTAGTACAGAAAATTCGTGCAGTTTTTGCCGAATTCCCCCCAGTGAAATTTAATCAACTTGGTTTTTCCGGCCAACTAAGCGTTGAGTCTTTTCTTCCTTTTTTTTATTATGCTAAACGCACAAATGAGCTGCCCTCTGAAGAAGATGAGGATGAGGCGGTTCGTTGCTGACCAGGGTTCATCTGACCAGAGATCGAAGGGGAGTTCCACACGAACTTCATTGATTAACGATTGGACAAAAGCAAAGGAAAAGTTCCCTCGGGAGCAGGACACGCACATATCACACACACACACACACACACGCGCACAACATAATCAAAAAATTAAAATCTCTTTATGTTTTTATGCGCGCTGATTGAATGGTTCCATTGTTGTTATTGCTCGGACAGTTTGATGTGCCATTGATGGACTCAGCGAGTGGACATGGTCATGACTGACTGAACTAATCGGGCGCCAGAAGAGCCACCCTCTCTGGCGGTCAGCGGCAGTCGAGCGTAATGGATACATGCGATATATGCTCGCCAGAACATTGTAATATTATACTTTTTGTTTCTTTTTTGTATGGAAAGCGGGAAAAGCGTCGATTAACAGAAATTGTTAAAATGGCTGCTCGGGTGGGGGAGGAGCAGCGAGTTTTTTGGCTTGGCTCAAAACCGCAACACACGTTGCGCCTTGTGTGGCTTCTGCTCATGTGTGGTATATTTCGGGGCACATTTAATTAAGTCACGTTGTGGCTTTAATCTCCAATCTAGTTATTAGGTACGTTTCACGTTTAGCTTTTTGTCTGGCTTTGATGCAGCTTTTAGCGCTAATTGCCAGGAGTTTTCTGACACAGCCTTTGTTCAGGTTGCGA